CAAAGAATACCCACTTATCCCTCTCGCTCTCTTTTCCCTTTCACAGAGATTCTTGCTGACATGCACGAGTCTCTCTCTCTCTCTCTCTCTCTCTCTCTCTCTCTCTCTCTCTCTCTAGACAGAGAAGTCTCTCCCCAAAGATTACCTACCTATCGCTCTCGCTAAGATTCTTGCTGACGTGTGTGTGTGTGTGTGTGTGTGTGTGTGTGTGTGTGTGCGAGTGAATTACCAATCCCTGTACTCCCCTCTGTTCATCTACTCACTAGCTGTTTCTGATCACAGAATCGTGCATATTCCTGACCCTGCGGGTAAGGTGCTTATAATGAAGTCGAGATCCCCTACTGAGACTGACCCCATCCCCCGAGAAAAAAAATCGAGAGTTAAGAAAAGGTCAAACTCAAACAGGAAGCAGCGCAAGGAAGGACAAGAATAAAAACGTAACGTTTTTCTGAAGGAAGCAGGGCAAGGAAGGACAAAAAAAAAAAAAAAACGTAACGTTCTTCTGAAGGCTTACCATGCTTTCGGCGGAGTGTTGCACCATGTCGATGTCGCAGATCCCGATGATGCCCGCTTCGGCCGCATCTGCACTTGACAACCTGGATCCCGCCTCCCGTTGATTCGTCTGATGATTGTCGGGATCTCCCACCTCTACGTCCAGTATTAGCTTCTTCTCCCTTCCCGATCCCAATCCAATCCCCATTCCCATTACTTCCCCCCTTGCGTCAGAGATCCCGACATCCCCTCTTGGACTCGGAGACCGCCGACTCCCGCAGTCGTCGGTATTCCGACATGCCCCCCTCCACGGCTTCCAGCTAGCCACGTCTCTCTCTCTCTTTCTCCCCATCGCCTGCAGCCATTGCCTCCTCCATATCCATCTGGCGAAAGAGGAGGAGGAGGAAGAGGAGGCGGAGGAGGAGGAGGAACCCGCATCTTCAGGAATCAACGCCCAAGTCGCAGCCGACGAGAGATCCCGACCGTACGATGATAATCTGCGTTGTCGTCTCCATCGACGGTCGGGATCGCGATCGCGGTCGGACGCACGATCAAGCAGCAGCCGCATCTCGCATTCTCTTTGACAGATCGCGATCCCTTTCCTCAGGGTCTCCCAGACCGTACCCGCTAGCCGATGCAGCTCCGACATCACAAACCACGACACCGTGCGTTGACACGTCAGCGCCAGCTGCCGCGATCTGCGACTCAGTACACTCGCCCTGCTGTCTGACGTGGATGCCATCGATCCACATCCCGATCCCGATCCCGATCCCGACTCCCTCACCAACTCCCGCGCACGCTCATCACTGCCACCACCAACCGAAGGCAAAGTCATGAAGGTGCCTCCTGCTGCCATAGCCGTCATCGCCGCTGCCATCGCGCCAAGCGAAGTCCGTCCGCGAAGGCCACGCGCCTCGCCTCGCTCTTTCACTACACAGCCCCTGCCGTACCTCGCACACACAAACCGTCCAGATTCATCCAGCTCCTACCGGTAGTGCCAACAAAAAAAACAGTTTCCCCGCCGCAATCCGTCCGAATCCGAAAACGTGAATCCGTCCGAAACCGAAAACGTGAATCGCCGACACCTGCAGTCGGCCATTACCTTACCGTTAGCTTGCCGTTACCTTACCGTTAGTATACACTTCCATTTACTTTTCCGTTTAGCTTATGTTAGCTTACGCTAACTTTAGCCCCCGTTAGCTTCCCTTACCATCTGTTATGTTAGCCTCGTAACTCAGCTGCGGTAGCTTACCGTTACCTTACCGTTACCTTACCGTTACATCACCGTTAGCTTACCGTTAGTGAGGGCGGCCGTTCTGGCTGAATCAGGGCCCAGTAGGGCTTACCGGGCCCTTGAGCCTCGCAGTTAGCTTTAGTCCGCTTAGATCATCACATTCAATTACATCATGTTAGCTCACGTTAGCTAATGTTGGCTTCCGTTAGCTCCCGTTAGCGCGTCGTAGCAGCCTCCGTTAACCTGCTGTTAGCTCCCGTTAGCGTAAGTCGGCTCCGTTAACCTGCTGTTAACTCGTGCGTTAGATTACTACGGGCGTGAGCTTGACCTGAGCCTCAGATTTTTTTTATTTTATTTTTTTTATTTTTTTTTCGGTTCTTCTCTTTCTCTGAGCTGTAGATCATGTTACGTTAGTTTCGTTAGCTTGCGTTAACTTCAAACAAAACAACGATGAGGGCAATCACAGTCGATGACGAAATAAGTCGGGGCATACTCAAAACTACTCGCGCAACAATTATGGCCAGACGTCGATGCATCGGACTGCAATTACGTCCAAGAATTGAAAGAAAAGAAAAAAGAAAAAAGAACGAAAAAGTGCTACCCCACCCTCACTCAAAATAATTAACGGGACCAAATATTCATTAGCAAAGGAAAAAAAATCGCTGACAGGACACTCAACGCCGCATCGAACTGAATCGGTCTGAATTTGATCACGACGACGGTTCTCCGCCTCCCCCCCCGCCCCCCCAACGCTAAGCTAGTGTACGGAATTGGCGCCCCTTTTTTAAGCGGGGGGGGGGGGGGGGGGGGGGG